TTGAAAATAACATCAACATTCACTATATATTGAATTTGTCTGTATCAATTCAAATATCAATAAGGCTACCTTAATATACTTATTAACATTATTCAGCCTAAATTTAAAATCCTTACCAATGAATGATAATTATATAACATACATGTTGTACTATTATATATAAAGTTATTTTTTCTCTTTATTGCACAGTAAAATTGTTGTTTTCTTTGGATTTGCAGTAGCATGTATTGAAACTTACGACAATGGAATGCTTATCATGGTGGTTGGTTTAAACAGAATTTATTTTAGTTTGACTATGTAGGAAGGTTAGGCTTATAAACACACTTACAAATCAGTTCATGGAACCAACCAGTACTGAGCAATAAATGTAAAGTTTCTTCCTCAACAATGATTTGCCTCTTATGGGTTAAATGAACCATAGTGCAGGTTAGCGATCATTAGTTTACATTTAGTCCAACGCGTTAACCACTCAGCCATGCCGCCACTATAATGGTCACCAGGTTTCTACACACTCAGGTGACCAACTATTTTCTGCTGTCAACATAAATGTCCTGACTTAATTATTATCTCAGTATGCTAGGTCATGGGATGTAAAACATTAAACAGATCATCAAGCTTGTATGCTATTACAAAGTTTCTTTTTTTCCGGCTCAGGCAGCCAATAATTCTTCCCTACCTCTTTTATTGATTCTTTGTTGATAAAATACTATGACATTCTGAAGAAAGAACATTATTTTGACCTATATACAGAATTACAATTCAATTTACAATCACAAAGAATTCTACATTATTCTTAATTGAACAGTCATTATATTCCCTGTACTTGTAAATGTCTTGTCAGTTTCCAGTTCATTTTATTCTCTATGAAAAATGCTTTTTGTATTGAAAACATTTTATCTTTTTTTTCCTAATGGTATCTGCAGGAATAAATGTCAGTTCTTTTTTCAATTAAGAGACATAATAATGTTACAACATTGAATTATATATGGATTCTTTTTCCATTGTTGAGCTGCTCCAGATACTCCAGATAAGCCAAATATTTCACTGGCAACGAAAAATATTTTCAGAGTCACAAGAAGGGTTAAGAATGAATGAAAACTTGTTTGTTTCATTTTACGCCTTTTCCCAACAGTATTTCAGTCATATAGGCGGGTAGTTTCCTAACCATCGTTCCTGGAGAGTTACACCAGTACTAGACTACCTTCCTCCGTGCTAAACTACCATAGCATCTCCTGGGGATCGAACCCACGCCAGAAAGGTAACTAGATTAGAAGTCATCGACTCTAACCCCTCAACCACGGAGGCGGTTATGAAAACTTGAAGACAATTCAAACATTTACTGAAAAATCAGTGAAACTTATCTCTGAAACTTAAATAATATCTCTAAGGGACATTTCCACCAGTCTAAACAGAATTCTCAGTGCCTGCACATAGACAGTCTAGGGTATGGACATGAATTAATGCTGTAGGAAATGAGTTAATTAGTTTTTACAAGATATAGACAGCCTTTTTATATAATATAAGATGGCAAATATAAAAAAATAATAATAACCAAAGCCAGTCGCTATTGAGGGACTATTATTGGGTCAACATTATTCTTAAGTCTATGTGTAATTATGATGTATGAAAATCAGACATTAAAGTGAATTGGTCTATAAGACATTAAAGAAATGCAATACACAGTTGTACCTTCTTCTCCGTATTAAACAATACCTTGATATAAATGCAAGAAAATTGTTCTTTAATGCTTATATCTTACCACATTTAGATTATTGTTGTACAGTCTGGGGGAATTGTAACAACAAGCAGATTTTGGATATCATAAAATTTCAAAAAAGAGCTGCAAGAATCATTCTTGACAAAAGCTACGATGCTCCATCTGCTGAGTTATTTAATGAATTTAATTTGATGAAAGAATAAGATACAAAAAAGCTGTCATTATGTATAAATCTTTAAACAATGCCTCATTTCCACAGTACATGAAAAACAAATTTCAATTTATTTATCAAAGACATGAGCATAACCTTAGGTCAGCAAAAAATTCAGATTTATTTGTGCCACAACCTAAAAAAGAAATTTTTAGAAAATCTCTGACATATTCAGGCCCTAAACTATGGAACTAGACCTATCACTGAAGGTGATTAATACCCCCACCAGCAACTTGAACTTTTTGAAAAAAAAGTAGTCTGAAGAAAAATTTGTATACAAACTATCAACTGTGTACAAAGAAATATTTCAATTAATTGTAATCGCAACTGGGGTCTCGAAATAAGCTTGCTATACACCAAGTTTGATTACAATATCTCATTCCTAACTCTAGTTATTGTCCGGAAACCATTTTTCTATTTTTAGTAACACTGTAACGGTGACCTTGACCCTAGGGGGTCCAAATGCAATACCAACCCAGGTCTTCATATAAGCTTCCTATACACCAAATTAGATTACAATATCTCATTCCAAACTCTAGTTATTGTCCGAAAACCATTTTTCTATTTTTCTTAACGATGACCTTGACCCCAGGGGGCCTAAATGCAATACCAACCAAGGTCTTCATATAAGCTTGCTATACACCAAGTTTGATAACAATATCTCATTCCTAACTCTAGTTATTGTCCTTAAACCATTTTTCTATTTTTCTTAACGGTAACCTTGACCTTGACCCCACGGGGTCCAAATGCAATACCATCCCAGGTCTTCATATTAGCTTGCTATACACCAAGTTTGATTACAGTATCTCATTCCTAAGTCAAGTTATTGTCTGGAAACCATTTTTCTATTTTTCTTAACAGTGACCTTGACCTTGACCCCAGGGGGCCTAAATGCAATACAAACCAAGGTCTTCATATAAGCTTGCTATACGCCAAGTTTGATAACAATATCTCATTCCTAACTCTAGTTATTGTCCGGAAACCATTTTTCTATTTTTAGTAACAGTGACCTTGACCTTGACCCCAGGGGGTCCAAATGCAATACCAACCAAGGTCTTCATATAAGCTTGCTATACACCAAGTTTGATTACAGTATCTCATTCCTAAGTCAAGTTATTGCCTGGAAACCATTTTTTCTATTTTTAGTAACGGTGACCTTGACCTTGACACCAGGGAGCCCAAATGCAATACCAACCCAGGTCTTCATATAAGCTTGCTATACGCCAAGTTTGATAACAATATCTCATTCTTAACTCTAGTTATTGTCCGGAAACCATTTTTCTATTTTTAGTAACAGTGACCTTGACCCCATGGGGTCCAAATGCAATACCAACCAGAGTTTCCACATAAGGTTGCTATATACCAAGTTTGATTGCAATACCTCATTCCAAACTCTAGTTATCGTCCGGAAACCATGATGTGGACCGACCGACGGACCGACCAACCGACCGACAAGCTGACTCCTATATACCCCCCCCTAAACTTCGTTTGTGGGGGTATAATAATATCCCTCATTCTATACGTAAATCTGAAACTATTGGAAAATTTCAAGCTTCCTTTATCAGATGGAATTTCACATATTAGTACAATGTACCTTAATCTTGCTAAGTAATGTATGTATGTATTGAATATGTATTTTGTTTGAATGTACATTGTTTTCTGTTGTTGTTTTCATGTATATATTATGCATTTTGTGTTTTCATGTATGTTATTTGAAAATTTCGCTGTATAACCATGATGTAAATTATGTATATTATATGTATATTTATGTTTTGAGGCCCACATGGAAGATTGGGTAACCAAATGTGTAGCCTCAGTAAATAAAGACTTTACTTACTTACTTACTTACTTACTATAATGGTAGGTATGTAAAACCATAAATAAGTATGTTGATAAATTGGTCTATAATGGTAGGTATGTAAAATCATAAATAAGTATGTTGGTAGTATTTAGCATCATAGGTGAGAACAAACTCAAAAGAAATATATACAGCTATTGTTTTCTACTAAGTGTTAGATACATATGATCCAATATGATATATCAATATAATAGGGATGGCAACGTAAATACCAAAATCAATACTCGAGTACTCGGTCATTTTTCCGATCGAGTCCTCGGTTACTCGGATGATTTCCAGTGATCTTCAAAGTTTATCACACAATATCAACACCGTCCGCATGCTACTTTCGTTTTCTATTTAAATTCATAGAATTCTGTAGATAGTAAATAGGACTGCACGGAAGACAAATTAATTATAATTAAATCAACAACATCATATTTTTACAATGTTTTAATTAATGCAATATCAAGTTTTAAACATGTATAGCAGTTCATATATCTTTTTTCTTCTTGAAATAATATAGACTGATCGGCGGCAACAAAAGTATAACCTGGTCTAAATACTAGTTACCTTCATCTTTGTTGTTTTCAAAACAGTCAATTAAAGGTAATTAAACATCATAAGAGGCTGGATGACATAAGCGACACAGGTGCGCATGTCAAACTGTTGATCGCCTCATTAAATTTATGATCTGCAAGGATGTTTTGATTGCATTTAACGGGTATTTATGAAGATACATGCACATCTCAGAATTTCTGAACTAACTGGATACACCAATCTTTCTAAATCGCAAAAAAATATATAGAAATTTTGAAAATATATATTTTTCCGAGTAATCAAATATCAATTTTGTTAACCGATATTCAGACGTTCGATCGAGTACTCGGTTAACCAGTTACTCGTTGCCATCCCTACAATATAATATAAAATATAATAAAATGCTCTAGAAGAAAATACTATATTATTCATCATTACTAAGTTCATATTTAACCACTTTTGAACTCTATCAACATTGTGTTTTTCAGAATTATTTCATAGGAATATCTAAAAGCATTTCTGGGGCATAAATGGCCTTTAAGGAAAATATGCTTACTGTAGAACGATCAACTTTAAGATTACAATGTAGCAGTATATAAATTTATAAAATGATAAAATCTAAATCTACGAAGATCTAAAATAGCAACAATATAAAACTTACTACATGTACTATATAAAGTAAAAATATGACATACCTTTATAAATTCCATGTTTTCAATTCAATGTATAGAGATTGTCACATCAGTGTATTTCACATAATGTCCTGTTCCACATCAAAATAAAATGTATGTCACTTTCCTCAAAAACTTTTTGTTAAAACATGTTGGATACTAGTTCATTCCAAAAGCCTACAACCGTCCATAAAAACTGACAACTTAATGCAATTCTTATGACACTTGATTAAAGATAAAAGTAACATTAATTTATTTTTTTAAAGACTTGACTTTTATCACAATCACAGTCAAATTGTCACAACCTCAAACACATACGTCAGATAATCTTGATATGTTGATGAAACAAAACACAACATAACAATATCACTTATATATAAGTCAAATCAATTAACAAGTTATCAAAGTCCTACTAGTATTTGTTCAATTGACCTATTGAGTGCATATATTCCAATGTCACAGTAACCAAAAAAGGAGAAAAGAAATATTTAAAGGTAAAAGAACCACAGTCCACTTTCAAACCAATTGTTACAGTTCTTCAAATTAAGTTTAATTATTTGAATGCAATTGATGTCACTCACAGTGCATTCTATGACTTCAATCAGACACCCTATAAACAATGATAGCACTGCTATGATTCTAAAGCTGTATTCTTTCCATCATTGTTACTATTTTAAAAATTAATAAACACTGACAACTTTACTCCAATAAATGTAATAACTTTGAAAAACTGATCACATAAATGTTTCTACAACAATGCCATGTTTAACAAGCAATTATCATAGTATTGCAAGCAATCCATAAGTCCCCTACAGCTTAAAACCCCAGCAACATTCTGAAGGGCCATTCACTTATGTTTCTAATTTGTTGAAAAAGTCCTTTAAAAGGGATCACAGGAAACAGTATTTTATGTACAGACAAACAGACGGACTGAAGGACACTCTAAAGTTATTTCTTTAAACATCCCTGTTATCAAAATATAACATTTTTAAAAGCAAAATTCTTAAAGTCCGGAGATAACTCTTGAAATAAAGATGCAAGATGTCATACATGATGGGAGTGTAACAAAGAACAATTAGTAATGAATGTGTTGATAATGAATGATTTTTTTTAAATTTGAAGTAAAAGAAAGTGAAAAAAATGAATGAGAAAAATTAGAATTTTAAGGAGGAGATAATTCTGGAAATATGGTTGCTAGATTTATAAACCTTGTCATATTATTATGATGTGGGAGTTTGAAGAAAATCCTATAATGATTGAAAAAGTTGGAGTAAAAATTACCAATTTCTCGAAAAAAGTCTAAGTTCAAAAGGGGCATAATTCTGGAAATAGTCTTGCTAGAGTATTGAACTTTTTCACAAATGTTGAATGATTATAAATAAGAAACATAGATATGAAGTTTGAAGTAGATACATTCACAAAAAAGGAAGTTATTAAAAAAACTATATTTTTTTCATAAAAACTCTAAGTTCAAGGGAGGAAATTCTGATAAATTTTATGCTAGAGTTGAAAACCTTGTCACTTTGATGTGGTTGATGACTAGAAACTTATATTTAAAGTTTGAAGAAAAAACCTTAAGAATAATGAACTTATAGTGAAAAAACGTTACAAAAACTTGAATCAGAAATCTTGAAATTCAGTCTAGTTGTTGCCATAGCAACCAGAATTTTCAACATTGGAAGAAACGAAAAGAATGTGCATAATCTCCAGACTGCCTTGACTACTCATATTTCAAGTTTCATAAAAATATTTTCAGTACTTTATGCGTTATCACTGGATCAAGGTTATGTGTAAAATTTGCCATATTTTCAGTCTATTTGTTGTCATAGCAACCAGAATTTTCAACATAGAAAGAAAAGAAAAAGACGTGCATAATCTCCATACTGCCATCTATCCATATATCAAGTTTCATAAAAATATTTTCAGTACTTTTTGCCTTATCACGGGATCCAGTTTTGTGGACGGACGGACGGACTGACGGATGGACAGATGTACGGAGGGTAAACCTAAAGTCCCCTCCGGTAAACCGGTAGGGGACTAATAAGCTTGTTAATGCCTAAAATATAATATATGTAACCCTCACTTTCTTGTATATTTGTTACACTTGATATTTTCCCAGAAAACAAATCATAAAGTTTAAAGGGACTCCACTAAGGTTTCTTAACATCAGGGGACATGAAATAATTTTTCAATTTTTGGACATGATGGGACTGGAGTTAAATTTTAATTAATGTTTGATGTACAAAATGTAGGTCTAAAGACCAATTGACCTTTCCGGTGTTTAAAGTTTTATGTAAATTGGCTAACCTGTTATCCAATCGCTACACTGAGATAATACATAGTCGCTGGTTGACCTGGTTTGCACAAAAGAACACGTGCTTATGTTTGTGATACTGTTTGTGAGCAGTTGACCTAGCAATGAATGGAAAAGGTGTGGCTAAATGTTCTGCTACGAAAAACCGGAAAGGTCCATAAGTTGTGTGCAAAATTTCAGTTCATTCCCTCCTCTGTTTTTTCTTTTGATTATTCTAAGCCTTGCAACACTTTTCACTCAATTGGGCTATTTAAGAGTGGCTCAAAAATACAATTTTCCATTTATTTCTGAGCATTATTTCTTATTTTTGCAAATATTTCTGTTTTCAGTGCCCCAGCTGATCCGAGTAAAAATTTATATTTTATGTTTTTAGGATTTTAGACCTCAGTGGAGTTCCTTTAATAATATCATTGTACTGTAATTATCTTCTTCAGGTTTTGTACCAGAAAAATCATTATAAAAAGCACAATCGCCTCTGAGAAAAAAAGTTTTAACAACAATGTAATTAAATTGATCCCTTTTTATCCCCCGCCGAAAAATTTCGGCGGAGGATATAGAAATAGTCTCCGTCCGTCCGTCCGTCCTTCCGTCCGACATTTTTGTCCGGAGCATATCTCTAAAAGTATTTGAGGTATCAACTTGAAACTTCATAGGTGGATAGACCTCATTGAGGAGGAGTGCAGTGCACAAGAATGATAACTCTACCTTGCATGATTTTTGAGTTATTGCCCTTTGTTATTTTTCAAAATTGATTTTTGTCCAGAGCTTAACTCCAAAAGCTTATGAGATATTAACATGAAACTTCATAGGTGCATAGATCTCACTCAGGAGGTGTGCAGTGCACAAGAATGATAACTCTACCTTTCATAATTTTTGAGTTATTGCCCTTTGTTATTTTTCATACCTAATTCTTCACCTGAGTGGAGCATAACTCGAAAAGTGTTTGAGATATCAACATGAAATGTCATAGGTGGATAGATCTTATTGAGGAGGAGTGTTGTGTGCAAGAATGATAACTCTTCCCTATACAATTTTTGAGTTATTGCCCTTTGTTTTTTTTTATGTTATTTTGTCCAGAGCTTATCTCAAAAAGTATTTGAGGTGTCAACTTGAAACTTCAAAGGTGGATGGATCTCATTGAGGAGGAGTGCAGTGCTTAAGAATGATAACTCTACCCTGCATTATTTTTGAGTTATTGCCCTTTGTTATTTTTCAAAATTAATTTTTGTCCAGAGCATAACTCAAAAAGCCTTTGAGATATCAAAATGAAACTTCATAGGTGCATAGATCTCACTCAGGAGGTGTGCACTGCACAAGAATGATAACTCTACCTTTTATAATTTTTGAGTTATTGCCCTTTGTTCTTTTTCATACTTAATTTTTCAATTCAATTTTTTTCTCAAAAAGTATTTTGAGGTATCAACTTGAAACTTCATAGGTGGATAGATTTTACTGAGGAGGGATGCAGCACACAAGAATGATAACCTACCCTGCATTATTTTTCAGTAATTGCCCTTTGTTATTTTCAGCCATCAGTATTCACATAGGTTTCAAATCTGTAATCATTATAGCCATCAGTTTTCATTACCAAAAGAACTCTTAAAATGGAATTATTCCGCTCTACTACATATGCATTCTTCCAATGAGCAAACACATTCGGCGGGGGATGGCCATGTTGACATGGCTCTTGTTTGTTTTAGTATGATTATACCTTAAATTTATGTTTTTCTTTTAATGCAAAATTGTTAAAATGGCCAAATTCTCTGTTGTAAATTTGGATTAGTCCATTAGTAGTGACTTAAGGATTTTCATTGTAAAAGTACCACTTGTTCTTCAGCAGTCAACATTGGTCTAGCAGGCTCTTTAATATTTGAATCAGTAATTCATCCCCACTAGCAGATTAAATGAGTCAACAACTTAGATGTGAATTGAAAAACATGAAAAAACAATTTTATTAGGTTAGCTACGGCTTGCTACTAAATTTCAAAATATTTCATCCCTGCACCACAAAACAAAGAGCCATTGATTCAGTTTCACATTCATGCAAAGAATATTTTGATTTGAATAATTTCTTTGTATTGAGATTTTAAGAATGGTTATAATAATTATATCTATATAATGAAAAAGTTATGAATAATAATCATACATCATGTTATTTTTTTACAAAATTCAATTATTGGAATATGCAATAACAAAACAACTGTAAATATCTAAACAGCAATAATATAGAATATTCAGACTCTTCACAGTTTTCAGGTATTTCTGAATAGGTGCATTTTCTGTTTAACCTTTACCTAGCTCACTTTACCAATTAAATAAAAGAGTTTTAACCTTAAAACACTGCTAGAACTGATCAAATCACATAGTTTAAACCTTTACCTAGCAGGAACCAATTAAATCACAGTGTTTTAACCTTTACCTAGCAGGAACCAATTACATCACAGATTTTAAATCTTTACCTAGCAGGAACCAATCAAATCACAGAGTTTTAACCTTTACCTAGCAGGAACCAATTAAATCACAGAGTTTTAACCTTTACCTAGCAGGAACCAATCAAATAACAGAGTTTTAACCTTTACCCTGCTAGGGGCGTCCGTGGCCGAGTGGTTAAGGTCGTTGACTTCAAACCACTTGCCCCTCACCGCTGTGGGTTGGAATCCCTACAGGGACTTTGGATTCTTTCATGTGAGGAAGCTATCCAGCTAGCTTACGGAACGTCGGTGGTTCTACTCAGGTGCCCATTCGTGCCTGAAATAATGCACGGAAGGGCACCTGAGGTCTTCCTCCGCCAGTAAAGCTGGAACGTCGCGATATGACCTATGCTGTGTCGATGTGACGTAAAACCCAAAA